ATAACCACATTGACATTATTACACTTTAGAAAATTAACATTAATTCTACAATATCATCTAATATCCAGTCATTAATCACATTTTTCAAAGTATACAGAAAAATGCCTTTAACACCTATTTTTTGTTTTAGTCAGAATCCATTTCAAATTTATTTTGATCATTATTTGGTTATTATTGTATCTCTTTTCTAGAGTTTATCTCTTCATTTTCCTGACAGTGACCATTTAACAGATCAGGGCAATTCATTTGTGAATTGTCTCATATTCTGTATTGACTGGTTCCTAGTAGTGTTATTGACTTTTTTTTTTTTTCCCTTTTTTTTTTTTTAATTGGAATTTCGGTTTCTTGGCTTGCTTGGTTATTTGTTAATTATTTTGTCTGGCCTATTTGTTGATTCCTCTATTTTCTCATTGTTTTGCGGGCGTGTTCAGTGGTTTATTGTTGTTTTTTGTTTTTTTCTTGTATCCATTCTCCGCTTGTGTCTCTTTTTTGGGGGTCCAGTGTGTTGCTCTCTGTTGTCTTCTTTTTTTTTTTTTTTTATAAGTGAAGTAAGCCAGGCAAATTGTACATACTGGAGAGCACAGCCCTATCTTTTTTTTTTTTTTTTTTTTTTTTTTAAAGACAGAGTCTCCCTCTGTGGCCTGGGCCGGAGTACAGTGGCACAGTCTCGGCTCACTGCAACCTCCGCCTCCCTTCCTAAAGCGATTCTCCTGCCTCAGCCTCCCAAGTAGCTGGGATTACAGGCACACACCACTACGCCCAGCTAATTTTTGTATTTTTAGTAGAGACAGGGTTTCACCATGTTGGTCAGGCTGGTTTTGAACTCCTGACCTCATAATCCTCCTGCCTTGGTTTCCCAAAGTGCTGGGATTACAGGTGTGAGCCACTGCACCCAGCCTCACAAGCCTTATCTAATAGGGGCATCCACTGTTCGGCAATAGCTGATTATTGCCAAGTGATTATGTAGGCCCAGAATTTCCCAGTCCTTAATTTTTCAAGAGAAATCAGATATTCTAAATTTTTTATAGGCTTTTGGGAATAGAATTTAAGAGCTTTGTAACTACAGCACCTGCTTCTCACACTTCAGGTCAGACTACCTTCTCCCTGTTAGCCAGCCTTGAATCCCCATAATTTTTCTCCCAAATTACCTTTAAAGGGCTATATTATTTTATACTCCTATCAACAGTATACAGAAGTTTCTAATTTCAGCTTCCTTTTTAAGTAATTTCTCTCTCTGCAGCATATCTGGGGATCGTACTGGAAAGAAGGCCGATGGGGATACAAATGCTGTCACTCTTTTTTCAAGTATTCCTATTGCACTGGAGAAGCTGGAAAGGAGATTGCTGTAAGTAATAGTCTTTGGTTCTTAAAGGTATAAAACAAAGCTCGTAAGTCAAACTAAAACATACTGTCTCATGTTGCAAATCTTAACTTTTTCTTATATGATTAGTAACTATTACTCAACTCAAATTACATGTTTTTTTCACCACAGAATTCTGAGGAATGTATTATAAATGATGTAACTGGGGAAGAATCTGTGAAAAAACCTCAAACTCTCATGGAGGTAAGTTGATAATCATTTGTCCTGGAGTCGGGGCTTTAAAACTTGCACCAGAGCTTTTTTCTTTTATTTTGAGACAGTCTCACTCTGTCACCCAAGCTCTTTTGCAGTGGCACGATCTGAACCCACTGCAACCTCCACTCCTGGGTTCAAGTGATTCTTATGCCTCAGCCTCCCGTAGTGCACCCAAGCTTAGTTTTCACATTAATAACACTGTATTTCAATCCTCCCTTTCAGCTGCATCAAGAAAAACTAAAAGAAGAAAAGAAGAAGAAGAAAAAGAAAAAGAAGAAGCATCGAAAGAGCAGTTCAGATAGTGATGATGAAGAAAAGAAGCATGAAAAATTGAAAAAGGTAATTTGCGAAGCCTAAATAGTAAAACTGACAAGTAACAATATTCTTTGTTTTTTGGGTTGTTTTTATTTTTTTGAGATAGGGTCTTGCCCTGTTACCCAGGCTGGAGTGCAAAGGCACAATCTCAGCTCACTGTAACCTCCACCTCCTGGGCTCACGCAACTCTCCTGCCTCAGTGTCCTGAGTAGCTAGGACTACAGGAACATGCCACTGTGCCTGGCTAATTTCTGTATTTTTTTATAGAGACAGGATTTCACCATGTTGCCTAGACTGGTCTCAAACTTCTGAGCTCAGGTGAACCACCGACCTCATCCTCCCAAAGTGCTGGGATTGCAGGTGTAAGCCACCACTCCTGGCCAGTATTATTTGTGAACGCCTTTATTTATAATGGCCTATGATCTAGCTCTGTCTCCAAATGCATTTTTAAAATGATGAAACAAGCCTAGAGTCTGAGTGATTTGCCCAAGTCATATTAATGGAGATATTGTGGGGTGTAGGTACTGCCTTCTTCTTGGAGTGCTTAATATTATGACTAATGGACAGAAGAAATATGCTTTATAAAGCATTTTTAGAGTTACTGTCATGTTGACCACAAAGAATTCCCTTCTAGCTCCATAATATATAAGTTTCAGCAAGTCTTTGAGAAAAGTCACAATTGTAGTCTCTACCAGAAGTATCATTTGTGAGCTTATATCAGTAAAGTGAACCTCATTTAATTTTTGTTATTAAATAAAATTTCTTCAACATTAATTAAAAATGTTATAGAATGTTTTGTGCTCTATAAAAATGTCATATGAACCAAATAGTGATCAGTTGTAGCTTAACAGTGGAAGGGCTGACTCCAAAGCTCTTTCAGGCAATCTGGGTTTTTGATAGAGCAGTTCATATTCAGTGGAGTCTTTTGGTACTCTGCCACTTGTGGAGAAAAGAGATCTGATGTAGAGCTGTGATATGCATTTTATTCCTCTCACTGTAGGCACTGAATGCAGAGGAGGCCCGCCTTCTTCATGTCAAGGAGACCATGCAGATTGATGAGAGGAAGCGGCCTTACAATAGCATGTATGAAACTCGGGAACCTACTGAAGAGGAAATGGAGGCCTACAGAATGAAACGTCAGAGACCAGATGATCCCATGGCCTCTTTCCTTGGGCAGCAGTAACTAGTCAGAAGACCATCCAAGATAGATACAGCTGATACATTCAACAAGAAGATTCAGCTTCTTGTTGATGATTGTAGACAGAAAAATCCTTGTCTACTCTTCTTGCTGCCTCGCTTTAATAAATCTTTCAGATGTCTCACAGTAAGTTCACTCCTTTCCATACTGAAGGAACAAAAAGAAGAGGCACATGAAGTCTGCTTTTGGGAATAGAATTTAAAATTCAATTAAGATTTTATTTCTAGTTTTATTAGAGTCATGTAGAAAGAGGCCTTGGCTCTCTACCTATTAAGAATGTCTCCTTCTCTACATTTATTAAGCTTCAAACTTTATTGCTTCAATTTTTGTGCCCTATATTTAGTATTAGCATACTTTGGTTTTGAGAAAAAAGGGGCTCCATTTTTTTAAAATAATTACTAGCAACTCTATGACTACATTTATTTTTATTTCTTATTTTTTTTTAGAAATAGGATCTTGCTATGTTTCCCAGGCTAGAGAGCAGTGGCTTTTCACAGACATGATCATAACACACTGCATGCAGTCTTGGGCAAATGATTCTCTCTCCTTGGCCTCTGGAGTAGACTAATTGAATGGAAAACAACTATTTTCTCATCTTTGGGTTAATACTGACTGATCAGTAGGTCTTTTACCATTCTGGACATAAGCCTTTAGATGCAGAAATCCTTTCCTTTATCATAGATATGGTTTACAATACTATTTGTTTTCCTTGTGATTGCCTTTATTTAACAATCATGAGTATTAGATTTTTTTAATTGTAGAATATCCTAATATTTATAGTCAGGAGGTGTTACTTTGTAAAATTTGTAAAAGAAAAAAAAAAAAAAACCTAAAGTTGGTTTCTTCAAAGAATTAAAAGAATAGCTTTGTAGGGATATTAGTAATAGATTGCTATGATCCTGAAGCCTCTTCTCGGAACATTGTAAAGATAATACTGACACAGTGGAATCAGTGAAAACAGCCTAACAAAACCTCTGACATGAGTATATCAACTTTTTTTTTCTTGTTGAGACAGAGTCTCACGGTTGCCAGGCTGCAGTACAGTGGCACAATCTTGGCTCACTGCAATCTCCGCCTCCCAGGTTCAAGCGATTCTCCCGCCTCAGCCTCCCAAGTAGCTGGGATTATAGGCATGTGCCACCACACCCAGCTAATTTTTGTATTTTTTAGTAGAGACAGGGTTTCATCATGTTAGCCAGGATCGTCTCGATCTCCTGATCTCATGATGCGCCTGCATCAGCCTCCCAAAGTGCTGGGATTACAGGCGTGAGCCACAACACCCGGCAAATATATTAACTTTTAACAGCTCACTGGCTTTTCTAAACTACCAAAAACCACCTGTAGGATACTGCATTAAGTCAGAATCTCAGAAATGGTAGTGTGAGAGTAACTGAATCAAAAGCACTTTGGATATACGTGGTTTCTAGCTTTAGATTGGTATGAAATTAAACAGCAGTGCAAGTAGACTTAATTCTTACTTTAAGAATGCAAAAAATTTTCATATTCCTACCTAAACAGGGTGGTTCCACATAAAGGCTGACATTGTTGTATCTGTTTTGTATTTTATCTTTTGTTAAAGATATATAAATGACAATACTTAACTGTGA